GGTTGTCCCTGCGGCTCCGGCTCTGGCACGGGAGAGCTCCTCACACCTGATGGAGGAGAGATGTGGGGGCACTGGGGGGGCACCAGCTTCTCCTACCACCCGCTCCTACCACCCACAGGCACCCTGTGCCCCTGCTCCTGCCCCACAGCCCCTCAGCCGTTGCTGATCGGCTTTCCAGGCTGCCACGGGGGAGACCCCCATCCCCACAACCTTGACTTAGCCCGGCTCAAAGCCCGCTAATCCCCTTACCCCAAAGCCAGGGGTGGGCGTCCCCAGGGCCAGCGGAGCTGCCATCTCCCCTTGGGGCTGTTCCTCCAGCCTTTGCCCCCCGCCCCACCATGGATGTGACACCCAGGGAGCCCCTTGCCGGTGCTGCTGGTAGCGCCCACTTGTCGCTTGGCCTGCGGGGAGACGCTTTCCATCTGCATCCCTGCCAACCCCAGACCACGACACCACGCTCCCGCGCTCGTTCTGGGTTTTAATGAGCATTTCTCCAGGCTGAGCCCCGCCAGGCTGTCCCGGGTAGTGGATCCCTTGGGACCCATGCTGCGATGCCGGTGGCCATGGGTGGCAGCTGAGGTGGACATTGCAGGGCAGCACATGGCCTCCATCCCGCTGCGGTTGTGCCTGCTCCGGGCACGAATGTGGGAGCTTTGTGGCACAAGAGGCGGCTCCAGCATTGGTGCAAGGGGGTTTGGCCCCCTGTAGAGCCCAGTGGCTGAGCATGGGACCCCGGCAAGAAGTTACCTGGCCCAGGGAGATGCCAGAGACACCGCTCCCAGCTGCAGGTTATGGGAGCAGGAGCAAAGCAACACCCTGCCCTGGAAGCCATGGTGCTGCTGGGACCGGGTCCCATCCCGCGCATGGAGCAGAGCCCCCGACTTACACAGCCGCTGCGGTCCCCGAGGCCAGCGCTGCTCCCTCCGTCCCACTCCTGCTCCCGCGGGCGCACGTCCTATAGATGCTCTGGGTGGCGTTTAGGGGAGGGCAGATTTATCCTGCTCGGGGGTAATAGGATTATTGATGTCCCTTCTTTTCAAAGGGGTAATCTGATGTCCTTCCCCCTGCTCCGCCCCGGTGGGACGGGGGGGGGTGTGTGTGTGTCTGGATTAGTGCCACTGGGACTGACGGTGTCAGGACGGGCAGCAAATCACCTGTGGGGGGACCCTGCCTCCTCTCCCCAAACCACCAGGGTCTCTCTCCTGGGGGACCCCACGCTGCCCAGGAGGTCACCCTGGTGCCCCTCGATCCCAGGGGCAGGGAGGGGACCCCCAGCCTGGCCAGGACTACGGATTGGGCTCTCCAGGAGGACCTGCGAACTGGGAACCAAACACCCTGTCTGGGTTGACCCCAAAAGGGCAAGGCACTAACGCAGGCAGCTGCCGGCAGGCTGTGCCAGGAAACACCGGCAGCAGAGCCAGCGTGGTTGAAACTGCTGGGACGTGCTGGGCTTTCAGCCTGTGCT